TTTCGTTATATATTCCTAATTCTATAGAACGATTTATTGGTAACTGATGTAGATATCAATCTGGAATATTTTTGAAGTTGAAGTTGACGTCCCTACTTATAAGTATAATGACTCAAATAATGAACTTACTAAAAATACATTTACTTTTGTCTCAAATTGATTTTTCCCTATTTTAATTGACATTCATACATTCTTTACCAGGCAAAATAAGGATGTTTCTTTACCTACTTGCGCAGGTAAAGACATGAGCTACTGCGATGCTGACAGAAACCGGTTTAACTAGTTTTGCGCAGGTTACTTGCTTCGCGAAAAGTACTATGCGGGTCCAGAGACTCGAGCATGTAAGACGCGTGAGCAGCAAGCACATTATATCAACCAAACGCGGAAGTAACTCGTGCATGCTGCTGACGCAAATAACGGTCGTCTTTCCCCGCTCCAGTTGCTTGCACCGTGAAGAAGCACCCTGAAGGCCATTTTAGAAATGAGCGTGTTAAAAACATTCAACGGTATAAAAAAAAAGGTTTTAAATGTCACTCATTGAAATAAAATATTCTATAGGAATAACAATAAGTAAGTAATTTGTAACTTTTGGGTTTACTTTATATTAGCTACTAAGAACTGTATCTGTATCTACTTTTTCCATTACGCTGGAAAAGATTTTAGTTTTTTTAATTGGCATCATAATCGAAAAGCAGTTAAGAAAGAAATAAAAAATCTAGTAATTTGAGTTTAAATAACCAAAAGAATCATGCTCTAAAAGTAATTTTGCCATCTGTTATTCTAATGTATTAAAACAAGACGCACCTGCCATCACCTAATTAAAGTAGATGTTTTTTCAAATCTGTCCGAGATGTAATTACAATTTGAAATATATTTATTTTAACCATAAAAGAAAATTTAATACAACATCTTATTAAACAATCTGCTCTAGAAGACATTAGTGTTACTGTAGTTCTAGTTTTTCATTCGCTTTGGCTGTTACCAATTTAGATTAAGGAGGTACATTGATTTTTCAAATTAAATTTCAGAAATAATTGCACTCGGAATAAATGTGTAGGTAAACCTGGACTGTGTTATGTTGAAGGTGCAATAACCTTGTGTATCTGAAATAACTTTACATTTTGATCAAATTGCACTGAATGAAAAGAAAAAAAAAACTCGTAAAATGAATAATACACATTATTTGGCAGGTAAAAGAAACTTCTCGGAGGACTTCCTTCCTTTACAGGTGTATCTTGCCATAGACTGACCACCACTGGCAACCACGGTTTTAGTCATTTCGATTCCGACATACCATTTCACCGGTGAGCCCTGGTGAGGTGATCATCCATGGGGGTTTCCACAGGAAGAAAATAAGTCGTTACAATAAAAATAATTTAGTTTGTGTAAAGCATCGTTGTCGCACAACGCGGCTGATTGCTAAAATGGTTTTGTAGGCGTAAACAACGTTACTCAAAGAAGTTTTTGTATGTTCAAACAACAATCCAACCGCCAAGCAAAAATCCCAAGGGTATTAGAACCTAATTTTCTTATTTTTGTAATTCCTTTGATATTTTTTCAAACGTATTCTTTGTACAGAATTGTGAAGATTATGTTTTTATTATACTTAGACGTATGTAAAAGTAATACGTGGAACTTAGTTCTTTGAAGTATTACGAGTACTAGTTATCTGAATTAGATGTTTAAGGAAAAGAAAACTGACTAAGGTTTCTATAGAAATAGAATAGAATATAGAAATAGGAATATACTTTTTATTAGCGAAATAATAAAAATATTTTAGGGAAATTTTAAACTAATTCCAATTTACTCCTTTCTCCAAGTCTTTTTCCCAAACTAGGTTAGGGTCGACTTTAAGGCTACTACGATATGGCTGAACCAACCCAATTCCAATTATGGTACAGAAATTAAACTTTATACCTATTGTTACAAAGTTTAATTATGTACACATTTTTAATATGTATCGCAATGTCCATTTCGTGACCAAAGTTTAATGATGAAGCCAGGAAGTAATTAATTGAATCTTTTTTTTACTTTTATAAATTTCGTGCACCATAAATATATTTCTATTTAGGTTCAGTATAAATAAAGAAAAATATGAGTTAAAAAAAAAACCGGCGTGAGGGGTCTATAGACCCCCGGTCGGAACGAAGTTCCTTTCGCTTTTTGATAGACGTTTGCTATAATACATGAAATATGAAAAAGATGTGAGTCGAAATGTGTCGGCAAAATGTCTTGTTACACATTTTTTTATTTTGTCGCTACCATTCGCTCAGAGCGTGTAACGCGCAATGAGGAACTTTATTCCAACAATTTAGAAATAACAATTGGGCACCTGATTTATACTGAGTTCAGTATTTAAGCAAACATTTTATTATATTTTACTAATTTTTAAATTAAGTAAAAGTTTTTACAACTTTTGGCAAAAAATAGTATAGAGTAAAAGACTATTCGAAACCTGAAATCATCGAAACCCGTAAAAGGAAAAATACTAAGTATTTCTTTTATAAAAGTTATTACGAAATTTAAATGTACTCGTAAGTAACTTAAATATTCAGTTATTCCTGATTAATATAAATGGGGATAAAGCAAGATTTCTTTCTACTTTAATAAAGTTACAATAATGGAAGAATCAGCCATTGTAATAAACTTATGTATTCGCAACGGTGTGTTTGCAAGGAATATTTAGCTTTCTACATATTAATTGCCAACATACCGGGTATACTACACACGAGTATTTTTGCATCGTCTCATTTCAGAGAGATTAACGACTTACGTCGTATGTTATTTATTACTCTGTGTTGTATGTATGTATCAGATTCAGATTCAGATTCAGATTGTTTATTTGCATAACACAGGTATTAATTACACGGTATTCATTCACAAAAGGTTCACTGTGCTTTACCACTATAATGGGTGAGCAAATTTTCAATTTGTACATTTATAATTGCATATAATTTAAAACATAACTTAAAATAACCTATAGGTATATTATTAGCATCATTGATTACTATAATAATATTGTGATACATACAATGTCAACATTCAAAGTCAAACTATAGTCACCTATATAAACTATAGTCAACTATATCACCAATATGCATGCATGTTATTGCGAAATAATTTATTTATTTTATATCTAATGAAATAAAGAGAATACTATTTTTATTATTCTCTGAAAAAAACCATATATAATATATAATTCCATATTCTAAAAAAAATAATTAACATTACAGTTATATAATAATAATATTCATTTCAGAGTAAGTTTTTACATTTTCATTACATAAGTTATAATAATAGTTAGGTATGACTTAGGCTATAATTAATTGGAGTGTTTGCTGTTCTCAACTTTTAAAATAGCACGATGAGCTATTTATAGTGATCTTAGAATTGTTTTAGCTGCACCTCCCCAGCAAGGAAAACAATAAATTATTATGGAGTGACAGAGTGCGTAATACATACGAGTATTACGGATGATTGTTGGATTGGCTACGTGTCGTAAGTTTTTGAAGACATATTATTAGCTTAAAAACGCGTCCCGAGAGAGTGTCAATATGTTGTCTAAATCAAAGGTATTTATCCAAGACAATGCCGAGATATTTAATTTGGTTAACTGGAGTCATTGCTAGGCATTTGCAATTCAGTTGAGGTTGAGACTGACAATAGTGAGCTATTAGATTAATAGGGTTTTTAGGTTGAGCTAGTAGGGTAAGCGTGAAGGCGATAAAATTAGTTTTGGTAGTATTAAGAGTTAGAGTGTGTGAGGTCAGCCATGTAAAAACAGTACAGTAACCTCTTTGAGCCGCCATTTCAAGGTCAGACCATGTGTTTGCATGAAAAGTGTCGTCTGCAAAAGATACAATGTTCGCGTGTGGAATGTTTAAGTTACAAAGGTCGTTAATTAAGACAAGAAATAAAGTAGGGGCTAAGATGCTTCCTTGTGCAATAACGTAATGGATGAAAGTTCATAGCTGATGTAATTGTCGATATTAACAAGTTTTGAACTATTCGTTAGGTAGCTTTTCAGTAGTTCTAGAGGTGGGCCCCTGATTCCAGCATTTTCAAGTTTGATTATGAGGGCAGACTGTTTCGAAGGCCTTAGCTAGGTCCAAGAAAATAGCCAGACCTTTTTCTGTCTTGTTAAGTTTTTCCACAATATTATTAAGTAAATTTTGGACTGCACCACCGGTACATTTTTTTCACGAAAGCCAAATTGTTCGGATGAAAGCAACTCGGATGAAGTGCTCCAGAGCTTATTTATAAGTCGTTCAAATATCTTAGATAAAGCACCAAGTACAGCTATGTGTCAATAGTTGTTTGGCGAGAGTCTGTCACCACCCTTGAAAATAGGATAAATGATGGCTTTTTTAAAAGCAAGCTGTTTCAAAACAGACCTTAAAATATAGTTTAATGAGGTCATTACAGCCACGTATCACCCCACACTGAAGCAGCAGTCACCCTTAGTGTACCGTACTATCACAGACGGAATTTCAACGGGGTCTGTTGGCTCTAAGACGAAGGAATTATAATGCTTTGAAGTGCAATTAGGTGGTCTACTTAATGACGTTATATATATGCTACACTCTGCGTAGGGGCACTCATCATATCGCCAAAAACGCCCTGGATTGGAACCCGCAAGGAAAACGTAAGCGTCGCCACCCAAAGTCAACTTGGCGACACCCTGTCGCAGATGAGGTGAAGAGAATCGGCACGTGGAGTGAGGTCAAGTGTGAAGCTCAGAACCCAACGCGATGGAAGATTACTGTGGCCGCCTTCTGCCCCATTACGGTGACGTAGGATATTAAGTCAAATCAAGTCATATATATATATGATCCCGTCAAGGACAACTACTAAGAGGGGACCTTATCAGTTACAGATGCTTTTTATTTTTGGTATTTCTTTTTAACTAGACAGTTGGTAAGGAACTGCCCACCACACTGAACTAAGAAAACTAAAAATAAACACCATTTTCAGTTGGAAAAAATATATTTTGAGAGCATTTATCCACTGCCTGCAGAACCCATACCATACGGAGATGAACTTTTCGTACTAAGGAAGTATAAACCAGGACTGCCAGTGTCAGATTCAATACCCATATATGATATCTCATTCTTCGAGCAAGCACTCTGACCGAATAGTGTCCAGTTCTCGCATTTCCGTGCTGAAAAACATACAGGTATTATGAAAATCAAATAACTTGCGTGGTGGAGCCATGCTTCTCCGAAATCCTAGGAATCTGGAGAGGAGATAAATGGTTATATAAATGGCGTCAACGCAGTAACTCTTGGGCATGTCCATGGGCGGCGGTAAACACTTAACATCAGGTGATCCATCTACTCGTTTGCTCCCTACTGCTTTATAGCATAAAATAAAAATAAACATCAATCCCCGTCACTGGATAATTGGTACTAAAAACTTTTCAAGAGTACTGAACCAATGGTGTAGTGGTTTAAGCGACCACCTCGCCACTGCTTACTGCGCTGAGTATTAAGGGTTCGACCCCTACATGGGGCCAACACGTTGCTTGCGTGATCCACAAATTTTCGTTCTGTGTCTGGGTGTTCTTTGTGTCTATTTCATGTGTGTTTGTAAATTTCTCGCGTCACAGGATAGGTTCCTAGTGCGGGCGTTCTCTTTAAAAAAAGGAATCTATTTGCCTCGCACAACCACTCTGTGGAAGCAATTAATTGTCATTTGAGGTATTTGCAGACCGATGTGACTGAATTGGAGATGCCATGAGAACCGGTGGTCACTTTTCATCAGGTAACCCGTCTGCTCGTTTATACCTTATTTCATAATAAATAACAATATGGCAATTGTAGCTTTATCTTTTGCTTTTTAATTATTTTTATTTTATAAATCCATAGGATTACTTTACTAGAAAATTTCTATACCAAGAACAATAGTTACCTACAAATGAAGGTATCTATGACACTTTTATTTTGATAAATGAGAAAACATATATTAAGAGATTTCATTATAATCGGTGAAGTTATGTCGTAAAATAATAAACAAACGTTAACGTTAAGTTAACAAAAGAACAATTTTACATTTATAAAATTAGTTGCAATTAGGATAATTAATTAACTTATTGTCCATACCTGGAAAGTTTTTTGGTGAACTAATACTTTCCGCGAAGTACTCCCAAGCTCTGCTATGATCACATATGGAGATGTAACATCCTGTCTGTGATGAACCTCCATTAGGATAAAAGTCTTTGTGACCTAAAATTTTAATGTAAATTTTTATAACAGTAAAATAATGTTCACACAATCAAAAATAATAAATATGTAAAGATATACGGAATGAAACCTGAAAACTATTCTGTAAATTATCTCATTTATTTTTCAAGTCTTTTTTTTTATTTAGCAGCTATTGGCGAGTTCAATACAATATTTAAAAATATGATGATGTTGAACGGTTAAAATCTGAACGATATTTTTTTCATTCGACCGCTTTCGATTGACGATACTTGTGTCTATTAAGTTGTAAGTGTCCCTGGACGATGCTAGTCACTTGCCCTTAAAAGACGCACCTGTTCGACATACATTTACAGTTACAGATAAAATAAGACAACATTGTAACATTGTTCCGCTCATTTTAACCTACAAACTCTTCGAGTACGTTGTCTATTCGGAGTCTATCAACATATGAATCTCGTAATCAAAAGAGAGCATGAATGAAGCAATACGAATTCGAGCATTATGAATATGTAATACATACAAATGTAGGGACACCCTTTATAAAATTGTATGTATAGAACACGTGCAGAAATAATTAAACAAAGTATATAAAAGCAAGGTATTCCTTTTAAAATAATAGCACGTGTTTCAAAGATAATGTTGTGAAAGTACTAAGATAATATCACAATTATTCAACCTCTAAATTAGTACCGTAATAAAAACAGTTCACGCATAAAATAAATCATTCATTACGATGATCTTACCAATAGCTATAATAATTACTTCTATGTAATATATGTATATATATATTGTCCGTTTGGTGAGAGATTAAGATTAAACTAAGATTTATCTAATTGTTTACATAAAATGGCCCGTGTGGTAACGGATTAAGAATACGAAGTGTCACCACCCCTTCTCATCCCGTGGGTGCCGTAAGAGCCGACTAAGGGAGCAATCTACGCAGAACAATAGCACTGCAACTGAAAACTTGTAATAAGCCCCAAACCAACCCGTCTGGCCAGCGTGGCCAAAACCTCCTTTCTAAGGAGAGGTCTATGTTCAGCAGTGGATTGTTATAGGTTGTTGTTGATGATGATGATAAAATATAGTTCTATAAATGTAATAAATGTACCTTCGGTAATAAATGTACCTATAAATGTCATACATACATAGATTTATATCTAGCTTTCTTCTTTCAAATTTACTCGTAAATTGAGCCCTTTATACCACAGATTTGGCACATCATAAGATCGTTAAACCCACTTCAGAGTTTCACGAGATTTTCGATGAAGATTGTGGAGTGGCTGATAATTTTGTCTCTTTTATTTAAAGTACTCGTGAGTTGTGTGATTTAATCTTGTTTGTACAATGGCTTATATCCAAGAAAATCCTCTTACAATATTAGTTCCTTTTTTACGAGGATCGTATATGTTCATGGAAGAGTGTGAGAAAATGTTTGTAACTGAATTAGTGGACTGATTTTAATAACTAACCGATAAGAAATAAATCACAAAGCTGACGGAAAAAGAAATAAAATAAACCTTTTAAGCTGTTTATACATCGTGCCACAAATTTGAGCTCAAACGGTGCCGAACTTTTTAAGTTTTTGAAGTGTACACAAACCAATATTGCATTTTTTATATGTTTAGATGTAATAACTACAACCATAGGTTTTCGTAGAGATTACCTACCTGTGAAACCGGTTCATATTTTTGTATAAAATTAAAAGCAAACTGTTTGTTTTATATCCTTAAAAAATAGGTTGAAAGGGTGACCGCTAATGATACAATTAAATGAAATTTAATAAAAGGTTTTTCCTCATTAACCACACCCGGATCGCTGCTTGTCTTTTACACAAACTGAATTGGCCTAAGTTAATGCCTTTTAAAGGTCGTTGAAAGGTCTTAACTTGATTTGAACAGCCCCCTTTTTATTAGTTTTCTTATGTGTAGTGAATTCCAGTTTAAACACAAAAAGCTCTTTTAAATTATATAAATTAATTAAACAAAATTAATTTTATTAAAGTGAAAATACTGAGCGTTGTATAATATATGACTCATATAACCGTACTGCATTTGTATATGGATGAGTTGCTTCTTTTTACTCACATTTTTTACAAAATTATCGCACTACATTCTGCTACTAAGAATTTTCAAGGTACAGAAATGTAAAAAGAATTAACTGACCCAAGAATTTAACTCATGCCCTCGCGATAAACAACCATAATTTATGCAATCAGACAAACAGAGCACAGTACAGACAGAGTTACTCAGGTAGATATAATTGAAAAAAAAAAAAAAACTTTTTTACCTACAGGCTCTTTAATGCCCAGCATTCCAGCATTACTGTGTATAACATCAACATATTCAGCATCAGTTCTATTTAGTCTTCCACTAGCGCTAACGTTGCTGAAACAGGGTCCTGCTGGATCCAGTGCTGTTATTCTGCCTACAAGTTGCCCAGTCAATTCTCGCACCTTTTTGCCAGCCACGCCAGCAATGTGGGAACCAAGACTGTGACCTACGATGTAGATCTTTGAGGGATCTTGTCCATCTATAAATTAAAAAAGTTAATCAAATACAATCAACAAACTACATTAGAATTGATTAAAAGATTTAAATTAAGTTATAATAATAAGACCCGATTTAATTATTGCTTATATACTATGGTTTCTACAATTGCGGCCAAAACAAATTGGTGTGTGTAAAATTTTTCTTGTAAATTTATTAAGAATATAATTTTCAGCATACATTTTTCTAAATCATTCCGTATGTAAATATACTGCTACATATATTTTAGAGATACAGAAACTCGAGCATTGGTCGTTAGTGATCCAACATTGACATGTCACCACTTCGTCGACTGAAGTAAATTAGGTCAACTAGTCTAGTCTTGATGTAGGTTTAGTGCACATGTAACCGATACTAAGCTAACACGATGATACGATTAACAGATTTCTGCTTCAAAGATGTTTAACAAGATAGATTACATTATTGCTCTGTTCTTTTTTTCTACAGGTAACTACCAAAAATAGTAGTGAGGACCTACCAAAATATTTTTTAAATTGATTAGAAATTATAAATATGTGTCATATACTCCATAAGGTTCCATCAATGAAAGCGGCGGTAGGCTAGTGGTTAAGGCATTGGACTTACAATCAAGAGGTCGTGGTTTCGAATCCTGACCAGTACACTACCGACATGAACCCACTCCTAACACAATAAACAATCAGCTTCATCTAATCGTTGGTGTTTTTCACTACAACGAGCCAACAGGCTATTCAAAAATCCTTTAGTTAGTAACCTAGTTGTTGTGAGTGCAAGTGAGTGTGTTTGTTTGTTACGCTTTCACGCCTAAACCACTGAACTGACTTTAAATACTTTTTCACCAATGGAAAGCTAAATGATCAACGAGTAACATAGTCTACTTTTTTCCACGATAACCGACATACACGCGGACGGAGCAGTAATTAATAAAATAGATAGCATACTCTTAATAACATCTCCTAAAAAAGTGCCAAGTAGTTCGCCAATGAATCTGACGTAAGTGGATGATCTGAAATATTCCAAATTTATGATCTTTCTCCCGTCCAGGGCAAACACCTTCATATCAGATCTCTTTAACAATTCAGGAGCTACACCATGTACCATCCATCCTTCTGAACTCTCCATAAAACCATGGATCAATATCACGACAGTCCCAGCCTTTGATATCACACGCTGGATACGCTTCGAAGTTGTCAAGTTAAACTTGATGTTACCATTCGCGGTAATAAGATCAATGTTAACTGCTTCATGGAAATTAGTTCTGTTTTTCTCTTGCATTTGCTCGTAAGTAAGGCCAAAGAAACTTTTGAGGGCTTCACCTAAAACATTGGGTAGTAAAAAATGAGAGTCAGGTCTTCGATGTGGCTTTGCATTATGGGTTTAGTTACGTTATTTTAATAATTTACAAAGTCCTTGACACACGAATCATTCCTAATGGGGCGGTCTCTTTTAGTAAAAAGTAAATACATCTATGAAATTAAATTACATGACATTTTATTCATAAATGGCTATGATATCACGTAACACATACACTAAATCATTTTCTACTTTTGCAAGAGTCAAATATTGAAATGCATTATTTTATGAAAAATTCCTTCAGAATATTTTCCAATTCTACTATCTATACTTAGTCTTATGTCCACTTGAGTTAATAAAACAATATTTAAGTCCATGTCTCACGACAAATACAACTTCTTAATAGGAATAAAAACTTAATACCCAGGAGACAACAGCCAATATAGCGGTTTCCTTAAAAACTTTTTGTTTCTTTAACATACATAAATTTTCTGATAAATCTTTTAAGTTAAATTTCATACTGTCACAGATTTAACTATTCTTTTCTTGGGAAAATATACTACAGATTCAACGACACAAGGTATTGCACCTCCATTTGTTGTGAATAACATGATCATATCATCAGCATATTATTATGAGCATGTTTATGCTGTTATGAACAACATACTCCTATATCTTGTTCTATATCCCTCCGTTAAGCATTCGACTCATTCTTAGATTGCTAAATAAAAAATACCTGAGTGGCTATTAAATTGAGACTTGTGAAATTGCCTTAGTTCATATAGCAGCACATAGAGGTTTAGCAAAATTTAATTTAGATGAAAAACTAAATTGATTGACTATGATTGAAAAAATATTTACAAATAAAAGAAGTACAAAATAAAACAACTTTTCCGCCAAGCAGTAAGCAATAGCTAGCTAAATAAAATATTAAAAGGCAATATCAATCCCATGTGCAGAGAAATGTGATTCCCTCGAGCATGAACGCCGTAAGAAGCCGAATAATTAATTTTTAATATTTATTTGATTTTGATATCAATAATAGCAAGTGTAGAAAAAAAAATTAAGTGTTTAAAACGTACTTACATCTATTCGAACCAGCTGCAACTACAGGGTAGATTACAGACATAGTTGCGTCATATATCGAACTTATTGAAATCTTAGCAGGCTTTGGTTGGGGGATATTCGCTGCACAGAACCCCACCACTAAGAGAAAACTATAGAAGTTGACTATTCCTATGTGTTGCGCTGAAAAAAGGTAATATTTAATCAAATCTTTTTGAATGGAACTGCAGTGCAGAACTGATGATATTTTGGTTACAAAAGGCAGCGAAAATATCATCATTTTATCCACAAATTCGAGATTTATAGTTTATTTATGGTTAATTTATAATCAGTTTCTGATTTTACCACACAAAATAAATAAATTTTAATGTTTAGTTCAATATAGTATTGTAATACGTTAGGTATTTAGTAGTTAAATAAAATCTCTTACATAATCTAACAATAATCATGTTAAACTGATTAAATCGATAGTACTCGTATATCAGGTTAGAAACAATGCCTCGGCATACTGTCGAAGGAGCCGCATATCGGAGTAAAATGTTATTCTAACTAACTATATTAAATTTAAGCTGAATAAATTAAAAACACATATTATATTCCACTTACAGCCAATCATTTCAGGCTACCCAGCAAAAGACGACTAAAAAAAACAAAATACACATTCATATAGAATTGACATAAATGTGACTACTGAATGCACGTAATAGGTCAATTTCATTATTCATCACAAATAATGCTTAATTAATTATTACCATAGTATTTGAAAAAACACTATTTGAATTCATAAGCCTAGCTGGCTGACTACTGACAACTGTGGATTTTTCACTGTGGACAATTATCTACAGTTTATATTGTGTTTAGCCTGTTTTAGCCCAGAAGATACAGAAGTACAATTAGCTACTCTTGTCATCTTGCATTTTTGGACTATCAAAGAAATATTTGTGTACTAAAACAGTCCAAGCTGCTGTCCTAAAATGATCATGTCTACTATCCCGTTTGAAATGCATGATCAGACAGACAAAATCATCCAGTCAGATATCCAGAGCTCTTACTGTATCTGACTGTGACAGATTCAAGTTTAGTTCCAATACTATATTAATATTCTTTTTTAATATTCTACTGAAAGTCGTATTGGTGTTGAAATATAAACGACTTCTATGTTTACTACTGACAGATTTGTATTCAAACTCTCTTTAGTAAGCGCGAATCCGTGGTGAAATAAATATGCGTACCTTAAATAAGTTAAATATCATGCACTTCCTGTGTGTTGTAGAGTAATTGAATTGTTCAAACTTCAAAGAACATTTTGTCTGGAATTAAGACCAAAACAAAATACTATCTTAATTACAAGAAATTTAATACTCAATAGGTTAGATAATCAATAACTTTGAATATGGAATTTCCTTTTTCAATAAGCTTGATAAACAGCTGTTTATCCGTGTGCATTCAACACTACTGTGCCTAGGTACACTCGATTATCCTTTTTTTACCAAAAGTAAATATAAAATAAATGTTCATCAGATTATTTTTGGACATATCCAAACACACCGTTGTCTAACTACACACTCGATGAGATGAGTATCATCAGTGAACGTATTTTGTTCCGCCAGCGAGATCCTATCACATTTGTTACGAAACATCCATGTAACATGACATGTATTGATAATAAAAAAGATGTTTGTGACAGGATATTTCAATGTTCCTGTATCTAGCCAAGTTACTTCATGTAATCACATGTTTTATTTTCACTTGATGTACTTACTGGCAAACATTCAATGTCAGAAGTACTTTCAAGATTCATGTAATGCAGTTATTACAAAATCTACCCAAATTCATTGTGGTTAGAAATATTAAAGTCAATAACTTATGATTGGAATGTTATTATACGTACTGAGATGAGATAGAGAGACTAAGAAAATTTAAGTGTGGGAGAGGTATTCTTTGGCACTAACACTCTACTGAGTGGTACCACGGCGTAACAGAAACGGGTGTTAGGTTAAACAATACTTTTGTTGCATTTTACTAAGTGATTGACTTTTCAGGTGACCCTTCTGCTCACATCACATCATCACACACGTCAACAGTATTTAATAGTCCACTGCTCGACATAGGCCTCTCCTTAGAAAGGAGGTTTTGGCTTAATATACCACGCTGGACAGACGAGTTGTTATAGGGTGTGTGTTCTCTTTGCAGTGATTTTATTCTGTGTTGTTTACTCCCTTAGTCGACTCTTACGGTACCCACGGGATGATTAGGGTCGGTGACATTCCGTATTCTTAATCCGTCACCACATGGTACGGCACTCCGATGCCATATTATTTTGTCATAAAAGAAATGGTATACACAATACAGCAGACATTGAAATACTTAATTAGGAATACAATACTGACGTATACAATCAACGCAACTTTTTTTTTTTTTAATAGCATCATTTAATTTGATCCCAAACATTCGTATAGCCGAAATAATTATAGCTTAGACAATTAAGTTAACTAAAACACAGTAAGGAATGTAAGTACTTAATCATGATTTGCAAAACAAAACATAATTTAATTATTAAAATCTGTCTGATACCTTTCTTATCAACTATTTTACTAAACTATTTAATTATTATAACGTTTCGAATTTTCAAAGATGGTACTAAGAAAGAACACTACATTGAATTTATAATCATTTTTTCGCCTTATTTCGCTTAGTTTAGAGCAAAACTTTATAAATGGTGAGTTGACATCGTTTTTTATTCGAGAAAGGCACAATGGTTCACAAAGTCAATAGTCCCTGTTCTATTGTTTCAATGACAGTGAAAAAAAGACTGGCAAATAAACTGGCAATTGTGCTGACAAAAAAAGCAAACTTTAAGGTCTTCATAAACGAATGGTTTGAGATAGATGTTTAACTATTGAAGATATTGCTTGCATTACAAAATCCAGTTCTAAAAGCAATATCTCTTACTTTTCATAGATTTTTCTTCTTACCTACCTACTACTTTCTATAAGCTGTACTGCTCGGAACGCGTAGTGGTTTAAGCGGTCGCCACGCCGCTTCCTACTGCGCTGAGTGTTGTAGGTTCAATCCCCACATGGGACACCAGTTCGTGTGATCCGCAAATTATTGTTATGAGCCTGGGTGTTCTTTGTGTGTTTGTGAAGTTCCCCACGACACAGGATATATGTATATTCCTAATGTGGGAGATGTCTTTTAAAAAAAATGAAAAGACAGGAAAAGTTCTCAAATTGCGACCAAAAAACAGTAGCTAAAATATGTGGACTCTATATGTCCTTACGTACCGTTTTGTGACTAAAGGTGTAAGTGATAAAAAATAAAGAAAAAAACTAAACTATGTATCACATGCCAACAACGATGGCCAACATCGCCAGATACGAGCTAAATAATGGACTGATGGTATTACAAAAAAGGTTAAAAACCAGTAATAAAGTATGTTCATTGGAAGGTCATAACGCATTGGTGTAATCATTAACATACCGCATTTTTTTACAATGAAGGTTGCAGACAACCTCTCCGCATATTAGACAGCCAAGTAGGTATTTCGTCATGACATTACAAACAAATAGCAAAGCATTATAATCTGGACAAGTGACAGCCTCGGTTAAATTGCATGTCAGCTGTGAATAAATAAATAAATGATGGAATTTAAATTGCTATGCACTTTTTATCTTGTTTAATGATATATTATCACCAGCCAGTAGTTTGGAAATTTTGTTTCACTGCCTAAGAATAAATCAGTTATTGATAGGAATCGATGAAAGTAGTTAAAGAAAAACATCTGAAAGCGTTAGCGAATTATATATTTCTATTTGTTTTTGTATAAAACCCATAGTCTATGCTACAGTCTGCTCATCATATCCTCTGAGAATGTAGTCTTTGGTGTAATGAACGTAATATAATGCTGAATAGCTTGCAGGTGATATCTGGGACGGTATACTATGGGGATCTTGTGTCAACTAAGGTGAGGTGAATTTCCGTGCGTTTAGGCCATTCTGCCATACACATTATAGAAATCAAATATAGCTCACTTAGGACCCATGATATTTTGTGGCCATGGTAATTCCCTGTTTAAAAGGGTGTTTGCCTCATCATCATCATCATCAACAGCCTTTAGCAGTCCAGTGCTGGACATAGGCCTCTCCTTAGAAAGGAGATTTTGGATTAATGTACCACGCTGGACAGACGGGTTGGTATATGGTTTGTGTCAAGTTTTTCTTCTCTTTGCAGTGATGTTGTCCTATGTTGTTTCCTCCCTTAGTCGACTCTTACGATATCGGATGATTAGGGTCGGTGACATTCCGTCACGACATGATCCTTCTATTCTTTTCCTATGCCATATTGTTTTACTTCATTTGTTTTCATTTACATATTGTTGTATTTTTCTACTATGTGTCTATTTTACTTCATTTTGTCTCCCGCTTTGCTAAGGAGGGAAGTAGATTTACCGTAGTTCCAACTTCTCCAATTGTTTTCTAATTCATTTCGTTGCGGGTTCCAAGATAGTTTAAAATTTTTTTTGGAACTTCCCGAGTGTCATACTCTGTGTGTTCGTGGGTCACTGCTGTTGATCTTGGTGTACAGGAGTTGGCAGTGTAGAAGGGACAACCAAATAAAACAAGTTTATGCTATGACTAGTTGCATCTCAGAAAATGATTGTTATATGATTTGTGCAATTTGTGCTAAGTTAACCGCATAGTATTCAGAATAAACGCCCTGTTATTGATCTTCTACGGATATTCGTTACTTATATCATAACTGTTATTTTATTAGTAAATTTATTTACTGTTTGAAGCAAGTGTACTGTTTCGTACTAACACAGCGTGATAATTAGGTATTGCCGAAAATAGCATGTGTAGGACAAAATAAAGTACTATAAAGTACTATAAATAAACACTTATTGAGACTAGGAAGGAATAGTAGTTTATACGTGTTTCACTTTAAAATATCAACCAAAATGTAGTGCACCTTTTTTATTCATTTCCACATCACCCTACGGTAGACTGGTATAGAATGTCCATGGCATTACGTCCACTATTGTACATTTTGTGCTCAATCAAT